GAGCCTCCCGTCGCACCGCCTGTAACCCCGGCGGTCACCGACGCGCCAGTTGCCCCCCCGGTCACACCACCGACGACCGCAGAGCCTCCCGTCGCACCGCCTGTTACCCCAGTGACCACAGACGCACCAGTGGCCCCCCCGGTCACACCACCGACGACTGTCGAGCCGTCCGCAGCTGTCGCTTGTGTACAATGTTAATACTTCATCTATGAGATTGTAGTCCTTGCGATATACACAACAAGCTACCGGTCTGCGATTTTCCAATCGATCCTTCCATCATTGGTATCGGTAAGCTACAAGAAGAATTTTTGAAGCTGCTGAGCGCTCCGGTTTCGAAACGCGTCAAGCACACAGCACTAACGGGGAACCAGCGCCTACGTGAGCGTGTGGGGTCGCAACCTTCAGCGCAGGGCTTCTCTCACAGTGTTACTCGTCGCCATATTCGATTTGAATGCCATGGGGTCTTGACGCATACATGAATTGTCGGCCCATATAGCAACAGGCAAAGGTGCTTGAAGCGGTTTCAATTCGGACCGCCCAGCAGCTTCGATCTTGCTTGTAGCTCTTACCGATCTCGATGATGAAAGGACCGCATGCATATGGAAAATCGAGGACCGCTAGTCTGCAGTGTATCACGAGGGCTACAATCTCAGACTGACGTTGTACCCAAGCGAGCGATGAGGACAACTAATTTTCGAAGGTAGTTTCGTACTGGAGTTAGAAGTTGAAAAACTCAGATATGCCGGCGTTTCCTGGATTGTTGAGAGGACACTGCGATCCCCCGCGCCCTTAGACCGTAGCCGCTGCAAATACTCCGGACGTATGCGTTGTGCTGAACGAAGTTGTGCCCGTTCACTGCTGCTGTGGTACTAATACACTCGATCGAGGATTATGTTGCCGTGTGGCCTCTGCCTTGGGGCCAAAAAAGTGGGGTGTGCACACGGATACAGCCACGCACACACAACCACCAGCGTCCGGCATGGACATCCGAAAAACCCCATCCTAGAAATTACGTGTTGTTTTATTCAAGCAAAGATAGCCCACTCCTGCACATATGCGTGTCACAACTACGGCACGGCTTCGGTATGCACACAACAGAGAGGAAATGGGATAGGCACACAACCATGAACAGGACAAATCATTCGCCCCTCCAACGGAGAGTCCTCAGGTAGAAGTAGGTATGTATGTAGCTGGCAAGTCGTACGGAGGACACAGACCCTCTACGCCCACGCGAGCAGCTTACAGCAGCTATGAGTGATATTTGTTCCTGGCGTTTTTTTCTGGAGGGGGGAGGGGATTGAGTGCTGCGTTCGGGCAAACAACCTTTCCTCGTGTGGTTTGGAGAGCGAGAAAAGAGAGATGATGTATTCCACTGCTGTGTCTATAATAGCTGTATCATACATACGCATACTAACTCTAAAAAAGAGACGAGAGCGGAGAGAAACAAAAACCGCCATCACCACGTCCTCTTCTCTGCTGCTCATCGAACACGCACAAGCGATCCCCCCCAACACGTTGGCTTCCCAGCTTTTGCAAGGATAGCGCGTACTCCGTAGCTAAGCCCTGCGGTGCTTTCGTCTACCCCCCCTTGTGCTGCAGGCAGGTGGACACTGCCGGCTTCGGCAAAAAAAAAAGAAAAACTCGACGTTTAGTACACAATCGAACAAATTTATCCACCCTCAGACCAATTCTTTATTGTTTTTCTTTCGAATTGCCTTTTTGCATTAATGTTTTCTCTTCACACGCGGGGAAGAGAGAGAAACCACGCCGACAGAACACGATTCCTGTAGACGCCCTCTGCGCCTGTCCTACCGTGTCTCTGTCCATTCATTCTACTGTCTCTCTCTCTTCCCAAAGAAAACAGCCCGGGGTTTCTCATTCCACCGGTGTGGGGAACTCTTCCTACTGTACGGAACATCTCAGACGACCAAGTTCCCAAATGGTACTCTACCATTTACTCTACCCGTTGCATTCCTTCCGTTCCCTCACCTTCGAAAGAAAAAGGGTGGGTGGGCGGGAAAGAACGCAACTTCTTGGCCTCCCAATCTGGCCAATCCTTGCTATCCCTCTCTGAGTTC